TGAGAGTAGATCTTAAATATTCTCCCTACTAGTAGAATGACTATTACACGAGATAATAGGTATGTTGATTATCTTGATTTAATCATTTTATAATGTATATTTATGTCAAAATGTTATGCTGTATACCATAAATCTATATGTTTTATTTGATTATGCCATAATAAAACTAGAAAATAAAAAATAAGATAAAAAGGAAATGTTTTCCCTACCAAGTAAAGACATTCCAGTAGCAGATTCTGCTTCACTAATAATAGATGCCAGAAAGAATAAAATAAAGTTCTAAAAGTGTTAAGGTAAAATGACAGTCAACCTGTTATTCATTGCACTGTTAAACTAATATTCCAGAGTAAGTGCATAGTAAAGTGATTTTTAGACTTTCAAAGTCTGAGAGCGATTGCTTCCTATAATCTTTGCTATTACAAATACATCAGATTGGTTCCTTTTTAATATCCACTCCAATGGCTTCCTGACATTATAGAGGCTGGAATGCTTTAAAAAATGACATATCCTGAACCCTTTTGTAGTTCGTGATCTGCTTGTAATTCAGGTTCTGGTAGGGGACAAACTCACAGGGACTTGGAAGACAAACGTGAGCTATGTAATGTAGAGGCTGTGAGAAGGTCAAAGAGCCCCTCTGGAAAATGCTGAGTTGGGGGCATTTGGTTCATCTGTTGCATCTGCAGCAGAGATTCTACTATCCTAAGTGTTTAATGATAACCAATTGCAGCAATAGGTTTTCTTCCAGTGCAGTCTCATAGAATAATTGGGCATTTCTCTTGGTTGACTACTTCTGCTTGTTAAATTTCCAAACCTTGCTCCCTAGTGTTCCTGAAAAGATTGCCATCTCTCAGATATCCTGTAATAAATTACTTTTACTTAAGCTAGCTAGAATAATTTTTGTTTTCTACCACAAAGAACAGTGATCAATAAAGAATTCATTCCAGAAATCCTGACAGACTACGGATTTTCAGGACATGGGAATCTGGAATTTATTCTTATTTCATAGGGTTTGAAGGCCATGAGGATTAGGTAGCATTATAGGATGAGGCACTGGTGTCCTAGAGCACACAGTGGACAAGTAGTCACCATTCACATTCCCACCAAACGTGAATTTGTGAGGAGTCAAATGATAAAGGGAATTTCGACTTATGTCCTCCTCATGGGTTGGGGGCATGCCTTGCCTGTAGTTAGTTCCTGACTTCCTAAGTGTAGAGAAGGAATACTTAAAACTGGAAGAATCTAAACATGAGAACAATCATAGTAGTGTCACATGCAGGCTCCAGGAGCTTCTCCTCCCAGTGAAGACAGTAAACCAAAAGGAACATCACGTCCTTGGAGGAACCATAGAGGCTTGTCCCAACATCAAATATTTGAAAGGTATGGAGATGGGAATTCCTATTAAAGCCCATTTGAGTCACTTGCTTGGTCTCTACCTAAGACAGATGGGTCTTAGTTCACATGCATAGAACTGGGGATAGCAAAGTATCCAGTTTCTCAACAGAAGTGCTAGAAAATAGAAGAGAAAGGAGAAATGCTGATTGGCAGCATAATGGCCCCCAAATGATGTTCATCCCAATCCCTAGAAGCTGTGAATATGTTCAGGCAAAGGACAAGTAAGTTTGCAGATGGATTTAAGGTTGCTAATTAGCTGACTTTAAGACAGTAATAGATTATCCTGGATTACTAGGTCAACCCAATGTAATCACAAAAGTCCTGAAAAGTACAGGGCAGGGGCAGAAGAAGCAAGTCAAGGAAATACGACTATGAAAGAAGTTCAGAAAGATGTAAAGTGGTTGGCTTTGAAGCTGGAGGAATGGACAAAGGGCTATAGGACACGGACAGCCACAAGAAGCTGAAGAAAGCAAGGAGACGGATGCTTCCCAGAGCCAGTAGAAAGCAGTGAAGCCCTGCTGATGCCTTAATTTTAGCTCCAGGACATCTGTGTCAGACTTCTGAGGTTTCTACAGAACGGCAAGATTATGCATTTGTGTCGTTTAAGCAAATTAGACTGTGGTCATTTGTTAAGGCAGCAATATAAAACTAATATAAATGTCTTCAAAAGAGAAAATGCTTTTCAATCTATTATCCTGTACTTAGACATACTGCTAATTAAATGTGAGTTTAAATTAAAGACATTTATTTACAGCTATGCAAGATCTCAAAAGAAATGAATTCCTATGCATCTAAGCAGTTTTGGGAAACTGCTGCAAGATGTGGACTTCCAAAATAAGGGAGTAAACCAGATAAGAAAAAGACAGGAACCTTGGAAACTTGCCTAGAGCTAACACTGGAGAAAGTAGAAGGGAAGTCCTGGGAGAACAGGCATTCTGCAGATGTAGAGAGCAACTAGCCCAGAGCAAAGTAGCATAGATAGCTCAGGAGGTTGAGCGGAACCAGTTCTGATGCTGGCTGGCAGAGCACTCGAAATGTGTAGCCAAGTCTCAAAGGGGTTTTAACTGGAAAAATTGGAGAATTCATTATATAGAAAACTAAGCAAATAAACACAGGAAAATTTTAATTCAAGGAAAACAAAGTTGTTTTGAAAAGGAAATGTAATTGTTATATCTTGATTGCCTTGGCAGTGAACTATATTTGCATGTTTTAATAATGCAAATATAAATGTAACCTGATTGGAAAGATGCAGGGGAGAAAAGTGAAGGCCTAGACTTCTAGGCCTCCATTTCCATTGGTTTACTGCTTGTTTGTTTATAGACCACAGGGGTACAGAATTGGATTGATCAGACTCCAATTCTGGTACTCTTTTAATGTTGGTCCATGTATGAACTGCTTTTGGCAATCTGGTTCTTTTAAATAATGTAATAAAAATCCAGGAACTCACTGCCCAAAACAAAATAATGAACCTAGACAATTATCTAAACTTGTCTCCATCCCATACTAACCCACAACCTTTTCCACCATCTGGGGTCACCAACATTCTGAATTTGGTGTTCACAATTCCTTTGCCTTCCTCATATTTCAGCTGATTCACAACTAGTCTGAAGACAGGGTCCCCAGTGGACTAGAAACAGAAATAGAGAAGGAGCTATTAAAATAAAGCACTATCCCCATGAAGTAGTAGATAGTTCATTCTCTGCAAGAGATTATAAAACCTCAAAAAAGATTCTGAGCCCCAGAGTTTTCTCACATTAAATATCATTTTTTTAGTCTTTCAAAAAAGCATATAGTATTGCATGTATTTCATTTCTTCCTTCCCTAACCACTCCTTGAAATGAAAGAGAATTAGGGGGGTGCACAGAGATACAGAAGATGCTGAAGATGCTAATGATCAATGCTAAGGGGCTGGCAGCATCCACCTACCATCCTCAGGCTACACTCTAAACCAGGCATGTTTCCCCAGTGGAAGCTGCAAGATCCCCAGTCTTCCCAGATTCCTCCCTGAATCCAGACACCTGGGAAGGACTCCTATCACCATAGAGATCCCTGTGGCACATCACAGCAAGCTTAGTAGCAGTGAGGGTTTAGTGGAGTTCCACCTGTGCTACCTGAGGAGCTTGAGTCCAGGGTGGCTATGGAATGGCTGTTTTTCTTGGCAACCTGCCATCATCAGTGACATAGCTTAGATATTTGTCCCCTCCAAATCTCATGTTGAAATTTGATCCCCAGTGTTGGAAGTACGGCATGGTGGGAAGTGTTTGGATCATGGGAACACGTCCCTCATGACCAGCTTGCTGCCATCCTTGTGGTAATGCATGAGTTCTCACTCTATTAGTTCTTGGGGGAAGTGATTGTTAAAAAGAGCCAGGCACCTCCCTCCTCTGTCTTGCTTCCTGCCTCTCATCAGGTGATGCCTGGTGCCCTTTACCTTCTGCCATGAATGGAGCTTCCTAAGGTCCCACACGAGTGGCAGATGCTGGTGCCATGCTTCTTGAACAGCCTTCTGAACTGTGAGCCAAATAAATCTCTTTTCTTTATACATTACCCAGTCTCAAGTATTCCTTTATAGCAAGTCAAAGTGGACTAAGACAGTCAAGCAGGCTTCACCAACTTGGGAGCCACTTAGAATCTTTTTTGGAAGACAATTCTAACCAGAATTGACCTCACAAAGCAGCCATATATCTTGCCTAAACTAAAATGATGGATTCCTTGACCACTGAGCTGCAAGAGGCTTTGGAGCTCATCTAGTCAAGCATTTCCCAAAGTATGTAACTCAAGCACTAGATTTTTAAGATGGTTGATAGATTTTACCCAAAAAGGTGTCTCTTAATGAGGGAAATGTGAAGAATCCTAGATTTTTTAAAAATTAAGATTCTATTCTGCATACCTTCTCAGAACCTAATCTCCAAGAGGGTAGCTTATTCCCAGTTTATCTGTGTGTGATCTTTAGCAGGTTATCTAAGTTAGGTGAGCCTGTTTCCTCATCTGCATAATAATGCCCACCTTGGAGGACTGCTGTGAAGGTGAGTGAGATAATGAGCTCTGAGGCATTTAGCGCAATACCTCACATAGACAGTGGTAACACATTCTTAGTTCCTTCTCCTTCTCCTATGCCTTTCATTTTTCTTTCAAATTTTCCTCTAGGCTTAACAAATTACCCCTATTTACAAACTTCTGTGAAATTGTTTGAAACTAATTTCCTGAATTCTGAATAGCTTCAGGTAATTACGTATGTAATGAAGGCTTACTCAGCTTACCTGGTAGGAAAGCAGGACCCCAGGCTATGGGGGGTCGAATGGTAAACACAGGGAATGCGGTGTGGACTGCACATTGGCAAGTGGGAGAATCACTCTCAGGGCTTGAGTGGCAGCTTCGCCTCATCCTGAGTCACCAAGGAACAGATGGAGTCCCAGGTTAAAACATGTGAAGAAACACTAGACGAAGAGGCAGAGGTTCCTCAACTGGCTATTTACTTTTTCAGAGGTTTAACCTCTGCATCTGTAAAATGCAGGGCTGGGTAGATACTCTTCATGCTCCCTTCCTCTCATCCCTGCTAACCCCATCTTAAACGTTACCAGTTGTGACATAATTGCAAATCCAAGAGGCACAGTCCACACACCTGAAATAAATTTTATTGAGATGAGCAATTTACGATAAAACACTTTGCAACACATTGGAAAAACTCATGTTTCACAAATTTTACATTCACAAATACAAGTCACTTTTGCTCAAAGGCACACAGGGACCTTGGGGAAGGGACAGACCTAATGAGCCATCAGTGGGCGCTCCCCCAGAAAAGGGTTTTCTCTGAGACTTGGCAGTACCAAAGTTCCCTAATTATGGGTCAACATAGGATTTAAAAAAATTTTATGATGATGTGAAAGCAATACCCATTGAGTAGAAACAATAGTTCGCATATCCATACAACCATTGTGGTTTTCACTTTCAGTACAGTATTCAATAAATTACATGAGATGTTCAGTACTTTATTATAAGATAAGCTTTGTGTTAAATGATTTTGCCCAACTGTAGGCTAATAGAAGTGTTCTCAGCACATTTAAGGTAGGCTTGGTTAAGCTACGATGTTTAGTAGGTTGGGTGTATTCAATGCATTTTCAACTTCCAATATTTTTGACTTACCATGAGTTTATTGAGATGTAAGTCAAGGAGCTTCTATATTCCTAGACACTCTCAGTGAGGAGTGAAGTGCAACATTCTCCATGCTTCCCAGAGCAGGACAAACCTGTATCCCTGCTGCCTTGTCTTATTCTGGTTCACAGGATTTCTATGGTAACATTCAGATGAAATCATTAGCTACTTCTTGACACGAAAGAGACAATAAGTACAGACACATGAGCCATTTGTCCTGAAAAATCCATCTGGGGATCCCTGTGCGCTTAGAAGACTCTCTCTGCCCAATGAGAGTCATGTTTTTGTCCATAATTCAGTAAGTGAGTTTTCAAAATTTTGTGTCTTAACTAGGATAATGAACCCTCATAGTTCATTATATGAAAGCAGATGATGTGACCAAGTTCAGTTTCAATGAACAGCCACGAGGTCTAAGTGACAAACTCTTTCTCCCGCAAACCTGTTTCCTACTGAGCTCATATCCATGCTTTGCTTTCAGGGTTTATCTGGTACTAGAAGGAAACCTATAAACCAATGCTAAACCTGCAAACCAGGGCTAAACCAGTATGACAGTAGCAATTGTTTAGAGCAGATGAATTAAGCTGGATTCTGCCTGACAGGTCTATTTTCTGGTGACGCACTGAGCCACTCAGGACCAGACGGAAGGTGATAAAAAACAATCATTCCTTGGAACGAGATTTCTCTGGCAAGTTAGACCCTTAAGTATGAAGGTTTCTTAAGGATTCCATAGGTTTCTGAAAGTGAAAGTGACACCTGAACCACTAAAATGATGTTGACAGCAAGAACCCTCATTACTCAGACAACACAGAGAAACGACCTGTCTAGACAGCTTGGAAGGATGAGGTGTCTAAACACAATTACTTTCAGCATATTGGAAAGCCTGCTCCCTCATCTCTTGTGAAAACAGAACAATTTTTCACCACCTTTTGTTTTTGCGTGATTGCGGGGGAGAAGGAATCATGCCTCCTAGTTGAGTTTGATTCCCTGGTTCATCTTGAGGCTGCTCTGAGGAGGAGCATGTGATCCAGGCCCTTCCTACCACTGTCTATGACAGGGCCAGTTCTGCCTGCATGGTGACAGGCTTCACCTTGGGTTTTCTCACCTCTTCAACTCCTCTGGTGGACACCCCTGGGAAAGGTGGTCAGAAATATTTTGCTGTGCCCCTGTTTCTTGTTAATCATTACAATCTAAATGAAAAAGGGTAAATGAAAAAAAAAGTTCATGCAAACATGCACACAGTCACACACACAAAGGAAAACATTGCAGATAGAGCCACAGCATGTTCACAGATGTTATCACAAATTGATGGGATAAGAGAGTGATTGTGTGTGTGTGTGTTTTTCTGAATTTTTCTAAGTTGCAATAATAATTTCCCTTTGTTTTAAGGAACCCAAGTTGGTCCTTTCTTCTCTGGATATTGCTAGGCCACTGAAGACTTGTGATTCTTCATGGCCCAGTAACTCCAGAAAGTAAGGCATGAAAATATCCATGCCAGCTCTGGCTTGCTGGCATTTCCCTGGCCTGTGCACCTGTTTCAAGCAGAGCTCTGTGCATCTGGGTCACCATACCCAAAGTATGATTCAGGTCTCCCTTTGGGATGCTCAGCAGTAGGAAAGGCTGTAAGGAAGCAGCTGCCTCACAGATGGAGGCAGTTGAATGATTCAGCTCCTATCTGGGCCAAAGTTGTCCTCTGTCCACTTACTCAGAGATCCAGGCTGCTATACCTCCAAGTATGTCTTAGATGGGAATTTATGAACACATGTCTAGTTGGTGGTGCCTTTTAGTTTTCACATCACATGGGGCTAGGAGGCTGGACAGTTTCCTAGGAAGTGAAGAGTCCTACAGCTTCTGCAGGAGTGTGTTTCCAGCACTCTCAAGATCATGTGTGAGAACAGGTTCTCTTTCTCTGCCTCAGATGGAGATAGACCCCTCCCATTGCCTCTTTCCTACCTCCTCTAACTCATCATCACAATGGGTTCCACAGATGACAGATCTGTCTTCCCAGACTGGAGTTGGGAGGTGGGCAGGAGGTTATTGGTGAGGGGAGCCCTCTGGCCATCATTCTTCTCTGTCCAGGCCACCCTGAAGGAAGGAACTGGGGAGGGTGGCCTCTCCTCCTGAGGCTTGGGAGGTCTTTGGCACATGTTCAGTAATGCCTTTAGCTCAATCCTGAAGTTCTCGTTCAGCCAGCAGTATATGAAGGGGTTGTAGCAGGTGCTGCTCATGGCAAACCAGTGGAAGGCAAAGTAGAGGGCATTGTTGGTGCGGATGACCTTGCTGGACAAGAGGAGGACGTAGCAGTTGAGGGGGAACCAGCAGAGGGCAAAGAGGACTACCACCAGCATCAACATCTTGATGGTCTTCTTCTTTTTGCGCCTCAAGGCAAGGTACTGCTCTGTGGTCACATCGCCAATTGTGTTACACAGCCACAGTTTCTTGGCCACACGAGCGTAGGCCACAGAGATGATGAGGAGGGGCAGCATGTAGAGTAGGATGAAGGTGGCCAAGTCCAGGTACTTCCAGAAGAGGTCAGCTGGCTCAGGGAAGTCTGGCAGGCAGAGGGAGCGCACAATGTCCTCGCTGGGGGCAGGAAGCCGGAAGGCAGAGAGAGTTAACAGAGAGGGGATATTAGTGTGGAAAGCCTTCATTCCAAGAAGCACTGGTCTCTCCTTCCACTGGGCTCCTGGTACATCCATCTAATATATCACTTTTGATGCTGTAGCCTAATCATCTGATTACATTTCTTCCTCCCCCACTAGGCTGGGAATTGCACAGAGGTAAATAATACACCTGAATTTCTCTGTGTTCTCTACATCTTGTGTTATTCCTAGCCCATAGTAGAGACCCAATAAATATTTGTTGAATAAATGAATGAAACACTCATGTTCTCAGGTTGAAAACTAACTCATCCTTGAGGAAATCTTAGATTTTCCCATTTAAAAGGGAAAATCTTTTTTGTTTTAAAGGGAAAACTAAGGCATGAACAAAAGAAATGATGGGTCTTGAGCATATGAGTGGTAAAGCCTGAGCTAACATTCCCTTTGGCCACTCACAGAAAAAGTATTATTTCATGTGGAATTTACCCCAGTCCTCTTCAGCCTTTTAAGGAATACCCATGTGGCTTGGTGCTCTAGTTCTATGTGCTGGTGGCCATTACTAACAAAAGAGAGAGGAAACTTCCTTTATTTTTTGTTAGGGGAAAAAAGGAAGTCTTTCATATGGAAAGGTAGAAGGGCAATTTGGATGTTGGGGGTTCTGGGTGTGTGATTTATTTCACCATCCTAGAGTTCCTGGAGGGGGCCTTTATAAATTAGTTGAATTCTGCTTTCTGGGCTTCTCTTAACCCTGCTTTTGTCACAGGGGTGTGGGACAGGGTGTAGGAAGACCTGTAATAAAAGACTGAGAGATGGAGGAATAGGAAAGCCCAGCTCCCTGGCCTCAAGGTGAGGCAAAATCTGCACTCTCAGTCTCCTCCAGAGCTCCCTGGGAGCAGGGGCAGCTTCCCCTGAAATCACACCCTTCCTTGGACTCTTCCTGGTCCCTGTCCAGCCTCTGCCACTCTCTTTCCCATTGAAAGCACTGCCTCAATTAGCCACTTGCAGATGTACCTGCCTTTACCACAATACCTGTCTCTAAGGAAGCTCATCTAAAACAATGAATGACAAAAATTACTCTAAGAGGCTGGGTGCAGTGGCTCACACCTGTAATCCCAGAACTTTGGGAGGCTGAGGTGGGTGGATCCCCTGAGGTCAGGAGTTCGAGACCAGCCTGGCCAACATGGTGAAACCCCGTCTCTACTAAAAATACAAAAAATAAGTTGGGTGTGGTGGTGAGTGCCTATAATCCCAGCTACTTGGGAGGATGAGACAGGAGAATTGCTTGAACCTAGGTGGTGCAGGTTGCAGTGAGCTGAGATCCTGCCATTGCACTCCATCCTGGGCAACAGAGCGAGATGTCTCAAAAAAGAAAATCACTCTGAGATCATTCATTCATTCAGTAAATATGTACCGAGGGCTTGTTATGTGGAGACAGTAAGCTAAGTGTTGGGATCACCAAGTTAACAAAGAAACGGCCAGTTCTTTCCAAACTGACAGTCCAGTAGGGAGATCCCCTAATGAACCAGTTTAAGCTTTAAAAAACCGAGTGTTGCAAGAAAGCTATTCTCATTCAGTGAGAACTATGATAAACATGCGGGAGGTCGGGGAGGTAGAGAAGGCTGCCTCAGGTGCAGGCACACATGCAGATTTTGTTTGTAGGTAGTGTGAAAGGATTTACACCTTGCTCCTTTTCAACAAGGCCTTGGTGACTCAGATCTCAGGCTGTGTGAGTACAGCACCCTGGTGACAGAAGCTGATAATTACCGCTTTGTCCTTGCAGAGAACCGGAAAGAGAATAAGGAAGAAGCTAAAGAAGAGAGAAAGCAGACAATATGTAGAGGATAGGCATGGGCCAGGAGGTAAGAGGATGGGAGCGAGACAGAAAAGGGCTCAGTGAGGCAGGTCCTAGTTACGCAGAGAGTTGTGAGCCTGGGGGCCTCCGTTGTCCCTTGGTTGAGGCTGACTCGGGAGAAGACAAGAGTCCCCAGGCAGATTCCTACGAATTCATCTCACCTGTATTTGAAGGTAAATAATTTCTGGCAGATAGCGTGTGGTAGTGAAAAGAACGTAGCCATGGTCCAGATGACAGCGATGTAGATGACACCCTTTGTGATTGAGATCCGGGGTTTCAAGGGATGCATAATGACCTGGAAAACAAGCAAACTGCATCATTAACTGAAGACGTTTTGGAACAAATCAGAAATCTGGGCCAGGTGCAGGAGCTCACACCTGTAATCCCAGCACTTTGGGAGGCTGAGGCAGAAGGATCACTTGAGCCCAGGAGTTCTAGACCAGCCTGGGCAACACAGTGAGACCCTGCCTCATAATAATTTTAAAAATTACATAAGTATATAAAAAGAAATCTGGATGGCACAGCTCACTTGTCACATAAGGCAGGCCCTATTGATAAAGTCAAGCACCACTTATGTTCATTACTGAGCCCCTGAGCTATACCAGGTAGCTATGAAGGAGAGGAAGCCCAGCCATGCCCCACCTAATAGCCCACCTCCAGCGGTAGAAAGAAAGGTTCTTCTGGATTCAGAGACCCCAGGCAGGTCATACTCAGGCAGGTCATACATTTGCCTCTTGCTGGTCATACTCAGGCTGAACCAGGGTCCGGTGAGAGGACCAGGAAGGTCCGGGAGGAAGGCTGTTCACATGGCACCAGAGCAAGTCTGGGAGAGGGGCAAACCCACAGTCAGTCCCACCTCCTCGGGATCTGCGTTCATCTTCCCATGATTCTAGACCCCTTAGGTTGTGATGGACTCCGATAAGGTCTGAGCTGACAGACAGGAAGAGGCCATTCTCATCACTCATCCTGGGAAGTTGCATGGACAGTTATGTGTGAGTTCCCAGCATGTTTATGAAAGCCGTTACTAAAATTGCACCAGGGCCCAGCTCTCACACACCTATAATAAAGTCAATGTTACAGGCTTCAGGCTGAAATGCATCTTGGAGTTGCTACTGTATGTCAACCAATTCTCCAAAAAGGTTTAAATAAAGACTTAGGGATTTTAAACCATCTTCATATTAAAATGAGAAACATTATATTTTGGAAAAGGCATTTTGGGATAGGTGAGTCCAGGGTCAGGAAGAAGAGGTGAGGAAGAGCTGCCACACCTCTAAATGCCATCCCAGAACACACTGGACCTTCTGGCTGTGTCCTGAGTTTTTTTTATTCCTCTCAATGTTTTCAAGGTTTTATAAGAAGAAGCAATGAGGCTTCAGAAGTTGCCAGCACATCTCTGTTCTGGATTCAGCCATCTCTGCCCCTCACATCCCCGTGTTCAGATTGCTGAAGGGAGTGGCAGCCTGGGCCAGGAGCTCCAAGCACTTCTCAAGGTCTCCATTGGCCTTGGGACAGAGCCCCTTGTCGGGGTTTATGTTGCAGCAACATGGTCAAAATGAGCAAGGCTTAGCCCCCATTCCTCAAACTCAACCTTAGCCCATGGTCAACACTCGGCTGCGTTAATCTGGGGTAAGCACAGGCCAGGTAAAGGTAATCCGAAGTCCTTCTAGATAAATGAAGGCAGATGGTTAAGAAAAGGCAGGAAATATTTATATGCAAAGTTTTCACACTTTACACTAAAGCACCTGCAACATAAATTAAGAGTTGATTCTTAGAAAATTATGGCATTTCAGAGATAAGTGTTGTCTCTAACCTGCATTTACTCCTCTCTCCTTTTTTGTGATTTTCCAGGTTTGCTTTCCTATCCTCAAAACAAGCTCACTAATTTCTGAGACAGAAAATGCCAGCAATGAGTCTTCATCGGATCAACAAAGAATAACTTTTTGTGACCATTAGGACAAAGGGTTTAATATCCCTAACCTATGTGTTCATGTTGATCAATAAGAATACAAAGATACTCATTGAAAACTGGGCTAAAACCCTGTCTTCCGAGCCCCTGCAACTTCCTGGAAACGGGAAGCAAGAGAGGGAGGAGCAGAGTGTTAGAGGTAGCTGCCCTCACCTGGTGGCGGTCCACTGCAATGGCTGTCAGCGTCAGTGCTGAGACGTGCAAGGAGCAGTACTGGGCAAAGCGGCTGACGTGGCACATGCCCTTCCCAAACACCCATGTGCTGTTCACAAAGCGAACCTGGAGATGAGCCCAAAGACGTTAGGAGACAGGCCTTGACTTTGACACCCATCCCCGGAGGTCTCTGAGGAGCATGCCTTCGGGAGGATTCCTCCAGCTCCTCCCTTCTTTCTGCCTATGATACTGAATTGTGAAGTAAACATGATTTTCTCCAGCACAACTCATTTTCATTCATTCAATTCAACAAACCCTGCCATGCTTAGGTGCCAGGAGAGCTCGTAAAGGATGTGGGCTTTGGAGTTGTACTTCCCACCGCTAATAGTTTCTTGTTGTGAGGCCTTGGGCAAAATAGGTAACCTGAACCTCAGTTTCATTTGCAAAAAAAAAAAAAAAAGCCCTCAAAAACCTCTGCCTTATGGGCTTAGCATAAGGTTTAAATTTTTTCAGTGTCTGTAAAGGGTAAAACACAATGCTGGCAGATTGTTCTGCTATTATTAGAAGTAAATAGTTGCTATTTTTACGTGCAATCATAGAATTCATTCTTGGTCCACACAAGTTCACTGTAGTGTGGGAGAAACATCTGAATTGTCACAACATAGCATATGGGCTGTGTTGGCAAATCTTGGCTAAACTGGCCTTGTAAGTCATCATTTGGGGAGGAACCCAGGGACCTGGAAAGGTGGGGACAGGTGTGGGGAGAGAAGACAAGCTCCCCAAACTGTGTAGGGCTCTAGAAGCAGGCCCGGTCCTTATCCCACATCACCCAGCACTACTTACTCATTCAATTAGTACTTGAGCAGCTCCTGGGAGTAATGACCCATGCCTGAGAGAGATCAAGCATTGATTTTGATTAAGGAGTTTGCAGCCAGGGCAGAGGAGGGCTCAAATAACTCAAGTGCAAGACAGAAAGTAATCAATGCTCTGTAGAGACCCAGACAAAAAGCCAATGGGGCCATCAGAGAGGGATGGGAGTGGACAGAGGCACAGAAGCATAGAAATAGAGCAAGTTGGCCCAAAAGAAGGAGTATAATGTAGTGACTTACAGCAAGGTGTCTGCCACTGAGCACTGTGAACTTGGGCAAGACAATGGGCCCTCTGAGCCCCACTTTCCTCATCTGTAAAATGCGCTAACCCTTTTCACATGGTTGTTAAATCCTTCAAGATTGATAACACATGTAAAGGAGGTAAAACAGTGCCTAGTACATAGCAAGTACTTAACGCTATCAATTGCCGCTATTATGACATATGAGACATTTAAACTGAGGAGGTATTTGTGCATGTGGAGATGAGGACAAAAGACACTGGCACTAGATCAGAAGTTCCAGGACCTGTTTGGGGAATAAGGAGTGGATTGGTTTGTCTGGAGTGTGTGATCCAGAGTCATCACAAGTCAGGCCAGATCTTGAAACTAGGACAACAGACCAGGGATTTACTCTCTTTGTGGAAGTCAGGGAGGAGCCATTGAGGCTGTTGAGCAGTTCAGTAACAATATAGAGCTAGAAGTCTTCAGCTACTCCTCCTTCTCATTCCCCACATTGGAATTACCAAATCTAACCAGTTTTGCCTCTCACTGTTTTTTAAAACTGTTCCCTCTTCTTCAGTCCTAAAGCCATGGGCCTCGTGGGATACCCCATCATCTCTCCCTTGGACTATTAGAGCCTCTGAACAGCTTTCCTCATTCTCCGGGTTTGTTCCCTTAGAATTCAGCCTTGACATTGCTGACAGCATTTCCGCTAACCACAATCAGATTGTTGTCACCCTCCTGCTTGGAAGCATCCTGGCTCTTAGTGGGACAGACTATCCAGGTGCCTTCACAACCTGGCCCCGCCTTCCTTTCTGGCCACCTCCACTTCCCCTTCCCCTGCCCACTCCTCCATTGTTTCCTGCTGCTCCAGCCTCATTGAGCCACTCAACGTTCCCTCAACACACCATGAACTTTGATGCTTCCAGGCGTTTGTTCTCCCTGGTGCTTCTGTCTGCACTAAGTGTTCATCTCGACCTAGGAAATTCCTGCTCAGCCAGGTCTCGTTGAAATGTCACATTCTTTGTAGTCTCCTTTGACCCTCTCATGGGACTCTGATGGGTCAGAATGAAAGAGCCCCCCCTCCAGGATCTATTACATTCTGTGTGCGTCTCTACCTACCATGGGAACTGTCAGTAATTGTCCGATTTTCTCTCCATCATTCAGAGCTGGGCTTCATGCTGACTGCAGTAGATGAAGTGTATAGGAAGGAAGATCAGAGAGGAAGGATATTGTTGCTAATCAGCCAAAGGCAGGGGTGCCTGTCCTAGTTGGGGGGCCTGTGCTGAGTAGGCTGAGGGGTTGGAAGCTACTCCCCACAACCTTTTCCCTTTCCTACCTGCCAGCACCTTATAAGCTGTAATTAGAGTTTGGATTGGGGGGATCTTGATGAGTCAGGTTCAAGGCTAAACTGCTTTGGCTCATACTGGAGGGGGTGCTGGGTTCTCAGGACCTTGACATCCCTTCTCTTATAGATTCTCTGGGACAGGCATTGCCAGTTCTCAGGTATAGCCTGTCATTGAGTTCGTGGTCTCCCTACCCCTTCTTGTGTCTGCTGCTGATCCAGCCCTGTATCCTGACTCTGGGCAGCGGCAAAAAATAACCATGTTGTGTGACTTCCAAGTTCCCAACCTTGGTGGCCCAGCCCAGCCACACCATTGTAGGTTCTTAGGACAGAAACCAAGGGAGGGGTCACAGGGAGCCAGGATGCTGTTGTCTTGTGCTTCGAGACATCCAGGGAGAAAGGGAGTATTTGCAAGTCTGCTCATCCTTGGGTAATGCCCAGGGGATATTGAGCGGCCACCAGTATGTTAGATGTAGGCTGAAAGGAGATCAGAACACGTCCAGGGTTTGGAGTAGCAGAAGCTAAACATGGTCCAAGAGTGTCCGTCACTCCCAGCTGGCTGGCTTAGTTGGACCGACCTCTGGACTTGAGTTAGGGGATGGAATTCTCATCCTGGCTCTGCCAACTACTGGCCAGGTGGCTTTGGACAAGGGAATGAACCTCTCTGTGCCCTAGTTTTCTCATCTGCAAAATGTGAGTAATATTCTAATAGGTGAGTACTAGAAAGAGAATGTGAGGGTAATTTTTCAATATAAGGTCTGGAAGGATATTTACCCAGGTGGATGCACTTATGGGGGATCATCCTGTGTTTTTTACTTGTCTATTATATGTGGTTATGTGTGTATGAGAGACAGAATGGGGAGAGAGACAGAGAGGGATTAATAGATTACTGCACTGGTAATCACTCAAATAACAAAGTTATTCCAAAAAAAGAAAAAATATAACACACTAGAGAAACATGCAGTATAACTGTCACTACAGTTGCTCAGTCATTGCCCTCACAGTCCCAAATCATCCATGAGAGCCACACTCCCAGGTCACAGCAGGACACCACCAATGCTAAGTAGCCAGGGCTTGGGGAGGAATCCCATCAGCTGCCAATGTGCAAAATGCCCCCAGCCTGCCCCATCTGTGGGGCCCAAGTCCACCTTCCCTCAATTCTTCCTCAACATAAACCTCAAACACAGCCTTATTATCAAATCACAGAAGGGAAATGCACTTTAAATAAGTGGTCTAGGAAAATACACTTAATGTTCCATGAACAATTAGCAATCGTTTGATATTTCAGTTGTAGTGTAAAGCAGCATCCCATGGGTTCGGGTGGGCACTAAATAGGCTGCACTTCAGAGGAGGGGGACCTGATCATCTCTGCTGACATTTCAGGGTCACTGATTCATTGCTCAATTATCAAGGTAGCCCAGACCCAGTGAGATGAAACAGGAAACGGTCATTCATTTCAGCTGGCTGCAGACACTCAAACCATTGACTCAATGCCACTGCCCCAGAAGCTCTGGCTTAGAAGGTGATGAGACAGAAAGAAGTGGGGAGGAATCAGAGAGTGGGGCAGGGGAAAGAGAAGAAGAGAGGAGGTGGAGAGAGGAGAGGTAGGGAGAGGAGAGGAGAGAGAACAGAAAAACAAAATCACAGAGAGACTGGCAAGAATAAAAAGCAATAAAGAGAGGAGACAGAGACAGACAAATAGGGACACAAAGAAAAAGGATGAGAACAGTGAGAGAGATAGAGAAGAGAGAAGGAAAGACTTCAGAGAGAGAGACAGAGACTGAAAGAGACTAAGAAAAACAGGAGAGAGACAAGAACCGAGATGACAGAGAAAAGACTAGGACAGGAGGACAGAGGCAGAGGAGAGGAGAAATGAGGAGGAAAGAAACAGACGTGGAGACAGAAGTGGCGACCCACAGAGAGACACAGAAAGGCAGAGGGAGGCGAGGGAATTGAGAGGAGAGGGGGAGGAACAGAAGGTGGGACGGCAAGCGGCGGGCCCCTTACCAAAGTGAAGGGGGTGTTGAGCAGCGTGATCATGATGTCGGCGACTGCCAGGTTGACGATGAAGAGGCTGGTGGCCGAATGCATTCGCTGGTTCTTGAAGATGACATGACAGACCAGGACGTTGCCAAAGAGTGAGAAGACGATGATGAAGGAGTAAGCCGCGATGAGCAGGGCTTTCACTGTGGGGTTCTGGGACTCAGCGCCGTAGCGCCTCCTGCCCACAAAGTTCTGCCAGTCGGAGAAGGTGTAGTTGTTCCAGGAGAAGTGCGAGGCGTTGGCCACAGCCAGGGCCGCCTCGAGGCTCTGTTCGTCGTCCCGGTCCTCGTGGGACTCGGTAGCTCGCCCCAAGGGGAGGAGGCAGAGCAGCACCAGGTGAGAGACCATTTTGCAGGAGCCCCCCCACCCCTGGGAGCCTGCTGGCCGGGCGTCCCTGCCCGCCGGTCTCCGAGCGCACAGCCGGGGTGCGGGGCGCAGAGCGCGCAGGGCGGTCCCGCGGACCAGGGAACCCGGACCCGCGGAGCACCGCGCCGCCAGCCACCAGCCCGCGCTCGGCACGCCAGCTCGGGGCTTGTTGGAGCACTTTTCTATCTCTGCTCCCACCAGGCTGCTAGGAAGAGCCTCCGCCTATTGGGCAGCGCGGCGTCTCTGTCGGCTACGGTGACGCGCTCCGGCTCTGACAAGCCTGACTCCCCCCACCGTGCTGGGTGGCGCCGTTGCTGCCCCCACGCCCAGCCGCTCCCACTCCCGCCTGAAACTCTTCCGACAGGGGTTCCAGGGCTCTGTGCCCAGCGCGCACACACTCGCGTGGTGTCTGCTTAAGCCTCTTGTGAAGGAAGCAGGCAGGCGGGTGGGAGGAAGCCCACTGGGGCACTTGGGATGATGAGGGGGCATGCTGCTAAAGCCGGGTCAGTGACAAGGATATATTCATTTGTTTCTACCTAAGCCTTAGCCTTGGCACAGTTTCAGTGTCGAAGTGGATCGCTGGCGTCCTGGCGGTCCCAGGAACAAGGCAAACCAAAAAATTGGAGACATTAAGGATTCTCGAAGTCCCACGAGTATCCAGTTATCAGAGGTGCTGGAGCGCTTATTACAGGCTGTTTCTTTGACAGCTCCCAGAAATGCAATGTGGGGAGCTTTGTTTTTCAAGGAAATTCTTCAAAGCAGTTCTGATAGCATCAAAGAAGCAAAGAAGAGGAGTTTAGCTATGTGCTCCCCACTTGGGTAACTGAGTTTTTCTGCCATGGAAGTCCATGAAGCTGTATCTTTAAGGGGTATTATGACCCAGGCTGTTTTTCATTCCCCACCTACTTCTTCAGGAAACCTTGCTATCCTTGCTCACCTGTTTTCACTTCTACGGTGAAAACTCTCCCACTCACTTGTCCTCTGCCACCCACATGCCTGACCCTGTGGTTAAGACCATGGGGTCTGGAATTAGGGTCTAATCCCAGCTTCACAGCACTTCCTAGCTGTGAAATCTTCAAGCCATTTAACATCTTTGGCCCTCGTTAAGAGGTTTTCTTTTCCTAAATGTGAGGTTTTCAGAGACGCCTGTATACATCTCTCACTGCATTGCCCTCTGGTGCAAGAGATGCAATTATCTGTTTGACTACTTGTAACCACCCCTGACCCTCAACAGGAAACACCATGTAGATTCTTTCCATTGTGCCCTGAGGAGCAGTGTCCTTGGGCTGGGACCCAAACAATGACTCAAGCTTAGGTATCACTCTTGTCTCCAGTTTTTCACTTCACATTTACTCTTCAAGCAACTGTGTCTGGAGGAAAGGATGGCCAGTCGATATCCCTCAATTAAACTGAAGGACCTGGCAGGTCTCACAGGATTAAGTGGCTGAAATAGGGGATTATGTGACAGATCCTAGAAGGGACAAGGTGCTAGGCTGATGAAATAATACATCTTTAGCTCCAGGAAATAAACCAAGAGACTGCCTGTAAACACGTAACTCAAAGCTTGGGTAGACGTGCTGCTCCATCAAGATGACTTGGCATCATCTTAGGGAGGCAAGGCTGGAGTATGATGTTTATTTAGAAACAGAATCCTAGTCAATCAAATTTCAAACTGTGCCCAGTGTCAAGAAAGAGCATATGGATAGGAAAGGAATAGTCAGCGTCAAGCTTAGAGAAAGAAGTCAAAGGGAGCCAGTGCCCTTCCAAGCACTCTCCTCCAAGTACCCCAGCAGGTGCTTGCTAGCCGGCATATTTGTAATTTGGGCCACCTAACTAACGTCTTCACTTTGATTCCCTGCTCATAATGCCCACCTTGTAAGTGTGAGGGCATTTATGCCAGAAGCCTGAAACATCCTTTCTGAAAGAAAAGGTGAGGCATTGTAGTTCTTAGCTTTCCCCAAAAGCATCTCCTGAGACGAAGACTCTAGTGAGAGGGCTCATTTGGGAGATGAAAGCAAACACCAATAGGGAAGTGAAGATATGTGACAAGAAAGGGAAAGCAACCAAAAAACAGTGCTGTCAAGCCAGTGTAAGGCGTACACATCAGCTACTCAAGCCAAGGGGTGACAGAGCTGTGATATCCATACTCCACCTCCTGTTAGTCACTGGATGAAGGCTTCCCCTAGGAGTGTGCTCCTTCTCCCAGGATGCTCCTGAACTTCTTGCCTGCGAAGTGGACAGCCAAAATGGGCTCCAGAGGCAAAAGAAAGGCTTGGGCAAATAAATGCTACTGCTGGCAGTTACAAGTTGCACTGGTGTGCTCTGAAGGAGGAGGCCATCCTGAGAAAATCCAAAGGTAGGGTTGAGGTCTGGAATCACTTCCTCTTCCTCTTCTCCAGGCATTCAGTTCTCCACTCAGCCAGGCCTGGGCCTTCTGAGCCCTGCCTAGCCCTCCTCTCAGCCCCATACCACTGTCCCCAACTTACCCTGAACTTCTAAAACCATGGTCTTTAATGAAATAAGAATATCCCCTCACTTACCCCACAGGAAGGCTGTGGTTTTTTTTTTTTTTTTTTTTTTTTTTACTGAGACAGAGTTTCGCTCTTGTTGCCCAGGCTGGAGTGCAGTGGCACAATCTCAGCTCAATACAACCTCCATCTCCTGGGTTCAAGAATTCTCCTACCTCAGCCTCCCAGGTGGCTGGGATTACAGCCATGTGCCACCACACCCGGCTAATTTTTTGTATTTTTAGTAGAGACAGGGTTTCTCCATGTTGGTCAGGCTGGTTTCAAACTCCTGACCTCAGGTGACTTGCCCAAAAGACTGAGTTATTAAAAGAAGTTCTTTCCTCAGAGGTGTTACGGGTCCTGTAAATCACTGTTGCTCTTCCTAAGGGGTTACGGGAAGACACAAGCAGCCCTTACAGTGAACCAGCCTCTTTTGTACATTACAAATAAAACCAAGGACACTGAATAGTCAGTCTGTGCCAAACAGTAAGTATATTCCTACATCTCTAATAACAGTCCCACATAGTAAACATAGCAAAGAGCAGAGGGTTTATTGTTTTACTCTCTCAAATGTACTTGAAACAAAGAAAGAAAAACAATAAACCACTTTGCACATATTTTAATAAAAATGAGACCAATAATTACCGAATATAGTCCCCCCTTATTCATGGGGTACACATTCCAAGATTCCCAGTGGATGCCCAAAACCGTGGATAGTACCAAACCCTATACAGGCTACACATGAATTTCTTTTTCCCTCTTCACAATTTCATGGATAGAGAATTTGCTCTTATTACAGATCTTAGAGGCCTCAGCTTATGATTCCCCTCCCCCCTTCCTTATTAAATCAAGAACTTTTACCTTTTCACATAAAGGAAGTACTTTATGGCTTCTAGCTGGCATATGCTAATTGCCAGCATTGCTACTTTTGCAGCTTTGGGGCCATTATAAGCAAAATAAAGATTAATTGTACACAATCACTGCAATGCCTTGACAGGCACTCTGACAACTGAGGTGGCTACTGAGTGACTGAGGAGCAGGTACTGCACAGATATGCTGAACAAAGGGAGGAGTCACATCCTGAGTGGACAGAATGGGGTGGTGTGAGATTTCATCAGAAACTGCAGAAAGCGAAACCTTGGATAAAGGGAGACTACTGTAATATCACATAGAGATCCAAGAAAGAGGTTTTGAGAGCCTCACCACATCAGTATTCCTAACACTGCAAACAATGCCCCTTTAACACCAATATTATTCTCTGAAAAGGCCCTGCTTGAGTTAAAAACTCAACACACTCACAGATCCTTATGGTACTAATCACAGTGGCAGAAGGGAAGAAACAGCAGTTCAACAGTGCCAGGCACATGACAGTCACTCCTAGTTTGTTTAATTGTACAAGTTGTATGTTATCGTACTTGAATTACGAATGAACCAAGGAGGCCTGAATTACCAAGTACAGCAGAAGACATGTTCAAATGCAATAAAAATGCAAAATGTGTAGGCAGGCTACGCTAGGAATTGCTTTCCAAGTTCCAATACACTGAGCCATAGAGTAAAAAGGTATTATTTAGGAAATGTAAAAAGAAGTACACCCAAGCTCCAACTTCAAACAGTTTGTGGCCCCAAATTAAATTGTAAGTTTCTTGAACTTACTCTGCCCTTTTACATAGAAACTTTTCTAAATGGTGGCTAGGGTCCTGAGCCAAATCCAACAACCCATTTAACCCATATAAACGGTAGCATTAGTTGTACCACAGGATTGCTAGCTAAAGTTTGGGGCTCCAAGGGTTTATGCTTCATTATCTGCTCCTCTTGAATTAAATGTCACCCGGGGTGATCTCAGCCACCTTCACCAGTTTAACCATCTATCACTCACCAATGACTACAAGATCTGTACCTCACTTACCACCTCTGATAAAAGCTCCAAATCTGTATTATGTAATATTTCACTGTTAATTGGACATTTTCACCTGGAATACCCACACACTTCAATAGGCTCCAAACTCTATAATCTTGCTCTTCCCTCACTTTCTTGTACTTGATCATTTTCCTATTCACTCGTCCACCATGGTTAGAATCTTGTGGTCATCTTACCCATCACCAATTTCATGACACTATGTATTTGAGGATGCTGTTTCTCTGCCTGAAGTCATGCTCTCCACCACCTTAGAGCCAGAAAAACTCCTCTTTCTTCTTCAAGACCCAGCTCAACTGTTATCTCCCCTCTGAAGACTGTCTGATGCCCCTGACTGCCACAACCCCAGAACAAGCAAAGACAGTATTCCCTAATCTGCTCTTTTAAAAGTGCAGATGCATTCTCTGATACTGTACTTCCATTGTTGGGGTCTCACAATTTGCTACACATGTATTTCCTATGAGATTCTCAGCATTACCAGGCCAGGAATTAATGTATTCCTAATGTTATCTCCTACAGCCTACTACTAAGACAGGGAAAACAGGTAGTACTGAGTTTGAGAAACTGGCCCTGGAATCAGACAACCCAGGATGCAGGTTTTTATCTCTCTAAATACTTTTTTATCTGTCTAGTAAGTTCCTGGGACATATCTAATTTATTAATTTTAATTTTTTATTTTTCCATAAGCTACTGGGGAGCAGGTCTCATTTAGTTACATGATTAAGTTTTTTAGTGGTGATTTGTGAGATCCTGGTGCACCCATCACCTGAGCAGCATACTCTGCAGCATATTTGTAGTCTTTTATCCCTTGTCCCCTCCCACTCATCCCCCGAAGTCCATTGTATCATTCTTATGCCTGCCTTTGCATCCTCATAGCTTAGCTCCCACATATCAGTGAGAACATACGATGTTTGGTTTTCCATTTCTGAGTTACTTCACTTAGAATAATAGTCTCCAATCTTATCTAGGTCACTGCAAATGCTGTTAATTCATTCCTTTTTATGGCTGAGTAGTATTCCATCATATATATATAATATATACATATATATAATACTATATACACTATATTATGGTGTATATAATGTATATATATATAACCATATACTACATATATTATATACTACATATATAATACTATATATGTACATATGTATACTATCTATTATATATGTAGTATATATATTACATATTATATACTATATGGTATATAGTATATATATACTATATATAATATATAGTACTCCATCATATATATATATTAATATACATTATTATATGTTATATATAAGTATATATATAATACAGTGTATATATATAAGTATATATATAATATAGTGTATATAATATATAGTGGAATACTATAATATATATTATATATCATTATATATACTGATATATATTATTATGGATCACATGGTAGTTCTACTTTCAGTCCTTTAAGGAATCTCCACACTCTTTTCCATAGCAGCTGTACTACTTTACATTCCAACCAGCAGTGTAGAAGTGTTCCCTGATCACCACATCCATGCCAACATCTTCTGTTTTTTTGATTATGGCCATTCTTGCAGGAGTAAGGTGGTATCGCATTGTGGTTTCGATTTGCATTTCCCTGATCATTAGTGATGGTGAACATTTTTTTGTATGTTTGTTGACCATTTGTATATCTTCTTTGAGAATTTTCCATTCATGTCCTTAGCCCACTTTTTGATGGGATTATTTTCTTACTGGTTTGTTTTCATTCATTGTAGATCCTGGATATTAGTCCTTTTTTAGATGTATAGATTGTGAAGATTTTCTCCCACTCTGTGAGTTGTCTGTTTACTCTGCTGACTGTTCCTTTTACTGTGCAAAAGGTTTTTAGTTTAATTAGGTCCCAGCTGTTTATCTTTGTTTTTATTGAGTTTGCTTTTGAGTTCTTGGTCATGAACTCTTTGCCTAAGCCAATGTCTAGAAGGGTTTTTCCAATGTTATCTTCTAGAATTTTTTATAGTTTCAGGTCTTAGGTTTAAGTCCTTAATCGATCTTGAGTTGATTTTTGTATAAGGTGAGAAATGAGGATCCAGTTTCATTCTCCTACACGTGGCTAGTCAATTATCCCAGCACTATTTGTTGAAAAGGGTGTTATTTCCCCATTTTATGTTTTTGTTTGCTTTATTGAAGATCAGTTGGCTGTAAGTACCTGGGTTTATTTCTGGGTTCTCTATTCTGTTCCATTGGTCTATGTGCCTATTTTTATACCAGTACCATGCTGTTTTGGTAACTATGACCTTATAGTAAAGTCTGAAATGAGCTAGATATGATGTCTCCAGGTTTGCTTTTTTTTCCCCACTTAGTCTTGCTTTGGCTATGCAAGCTCTTTTTTGGTTCCATATGAATTTTAGAATTGTTTTCTCTAACTCTATGAAGAATGATAGTGGTATTTTGATGGTGATTGCACTGAATTTGTAGATTGCTTTTGGCAGTATGGTCATTTTCAGAGTATTGATTCCACCTATCCATGAGCATGGTATGTATTTCCATTTGTTTGTGTCATCTATGATTTTTTTCAGCAGTGTTTTGTAGTTTTCCTTGTAGAGTTCATTCAACTCCTTTGTTAGGTATATTCCTAAGTATTTTATGTATTTATTTATTTTGCAGCTATTGTAAAAAGGGTTGAGTTCTTGATTTGATTATCTGCTTAGTCACTGCTGATGCATAGAAGGGCTACTGATTTGTGTACATTAATCTTGTATCTGGGAACTTTGCTGAATTCTTTTATCAGTTCTAGGAGCTTTTTGGAGGACTCCTTGGGGTTTAGAAATTAAATAACCTGCTCCTGAATGAGATTTGGGTCAAAAATGAAATCTAGATGGAAATTTAAGAATTCTTTGAACTGAAAGACAACAATGACACAACCTATCAAAACTTCTGAGATACAGCTAAGGTAGGTGCTAAGAGCAAGGTTCATATCTCTAAATGCCTACATCAAAAAGTCTGAAAGAGCACAATCTAAGGTCACACCTCAAGGAACTAGAGAAATTAGACCAAACCTAACCCAAATCCAGCAGAAGAAAGGAAATAACCAAGATAGAGCAGAACTAAATGAAATTGAAACAAAAAATACAAAAGATAAATGAAACAAAAAAGGTGGTTCTTTGAAAAGATAAATAAAATTGATAGACCCTTAGCAAGATTAACCAAGAAAAGAAGAGAGAAAATCCAAATAACCTCACTAAGAAATGAAACAGGAGATATTAAAACTGACACCACTGAAATACAAAAGATCATTCAAGGCTACTATGAATACTTTCACACACATAAACTAGAAAACCTAGAAGAGATGGATAAACTCGTGGAAAAATATAACCCTCCTAGCCTAAATCAGGAAAAACTGGATGCCCTGAACAGACCAGTAACAAGCAATGAGATTGAAATGGCAATTAAAAAATTATCAACACAAACAAAGTCCAGAACCAGATGGATTCACAGCAGAATTCTATCAGACATTCAAATAATTGGTACCAATCCTTTTGACACTATTCCACAAGACAGCAAAAGGAACCCTCCCTAATTCATCCTATGAACCCAGCATCATCCTAATACCAAAACCAGGAAAGGACACAACCAAAAAAGTAAACTATAGACCAATATTCTTGATGAACATAGATGCTGAAATCATTAACAAAATACTAGCTATCTGTATTCAATAACGTATGAAAAAGATAATCCACCATGATCAAGTGGGTTTCATACCAGAGATGCAGGGATGGTTTAACATAAGCAAGTCAATAAATGTGATACAACACATAAACAGAATTAAAAACCAAAATCACATGATCATCTCAATAGGTGCAGAGTATGCAGAAAAAGCATTTGACAAAATCCAGCATCTCTTTGCAAATAAAACCCTCGGCAAAATTGGCATACAAGGGATATACCTTAATGTAATAAAGTCCACCTATGACAAACCCACAGTCAACATAATACTGAATGGGGAAAAGCTGAAAGCATTCCCTCTGAGAATAGGAACAAGACAAGGATGCCCCCTCTCACCACTCCTCTTCAACACAGTACTGGAAGTCCTAACAAGAGCAATCAGACAAGAGAAAGAACTCAAGGGACTCCAAATTGGTAAAGAGGAAGTCAATAAAGTGGCATGTTCTGGGGGGGGAAAAAAAGAGTAAGTCAAACTGTCCCTGTTTGCTAAGGATATGATCAATTACCTTGGAAATATCTAATTTAAAATGATATCAATATCCATCTTGTATATACCTACCTTCTGTGAAAGGAACAATTTTTCTGGTTCTGTTGCTGGATAACCACTTAAAATGAGAATTTCTTCCTTTTGCCTAAATACAGTTCTTCTAATGGGTAGAGCCATACAATTAGTGTTTCAAGGAGATTTTCTATAATTCTATAGGTTGAGTCACATTTCTTAACATCAGCTCTCATTCTATGCTCTTAATTGCTATTGGGCTATTTTTTTCTACTTCTTTTTCATTTCTTCTGTGTGCATTCTTTTGAATCAGATCCTCAGAATGAGAAAGAGGATAATTAGCCATAATACTTAAGCTATTTGATTAATACTGCATCTTATAGAGGAAGAATGATTAAAGTGTTTTTTTTTTAAATAGCATTACCAAGTTAAAAATTTGTTAAGGATATTTCTAGAAAGCATCACAGGATCAGCAACTCATTTTCACAGGATGTAAGCAATAGCTATCATTGATCTTAGGCTCTTTTGAAAATGCTTTAATAGGGTTCTTTTTTAATTTTTTTGAATTACCACTTGAGGCTGTTAATTTTGAGCATCAGAAAAATAAGTCTTTTTCCATATTAATTTTACACTGACCTATTTTATAAAGTTCGTGCTATAATAGAAATAAATTCTAGCAATTACAGTTGAAGATGCAGCTTGCAGCCAATGGAACCATCAAGACCTTGCTAATCACTTCATAAGCATCATTGCATCTAATCACAAAACATACAAGGTAGGTATTTTAATCTACTGAATGGGGAAGCAGATGTTCTGAGACTGACTTGTATGAGTCACAGAGCTAAAAGGACTGGAAGATTGAAGCCCAGGTCTGACTGACCAACAATCTTATCATTAGCTTCTGGGTGAACAATATCATTAAAGCCTAAAACCAAATGGAAGAAACCTTTTACAGTGCAGTTCACAAAATCAAATAAATGACTAGGTATTGGTTAGGGTGCAGTGAAAGAGGTGCTCTCATGTTGCTGGTGGGAGTATAAATGGATATATCCTTTCTGCAAAGCAATCTGGTAAAACTGTCATAAGCCTTAAAATATTTTCATCTCCTTTACCTGAAATTCTATTTTTTACTCTATCCTAGCCTAAGGATATTATTTTTTAAATGTCGTCAAAGATTTATGTACAACTGACTGTATATTTGATTTTAAAAGAGCCCTTTTGTTTACTGTATATTCACATGTGCATATATATGCAGATTAAATAATACAATGTCTGGAATTTGCTTCAAAATAATGTGGACCCAAGAAAAGAGAAATGGATTCAAGCAGAATGATGGATACATGTAGGTTTATCACACCCTATCTCCACATAAAAAAATTTTTAAAATTATGTAAAAAGATGATTCCATCAAGCATTATTTATTATAGTGAAAAACATATTATGCTGTGGTATTCCATGACCCAAAACACTTTGCAGTCATTAAAAGGGATGCTTTTGAGAAAAATCTAGTAACACAGAAAATGCTCTCAGAACAACACAAGCAGGACACAAACTGAAACAATTTCACTTCAATTATGTGAAGAGTTAAAGGGGGCACAGTGAAATCTTAATATCAGGATCATTATGGTATCCTTTTTCTTCATATTCTTTTGCATTTTTCACAAATACCATTTATACCCAGAAAAAAACCAATAGTTTACAGAGGGTAATAGTCCATCTTTATCTGTAACAGGTTCTTTATTATTGTCACTGTCCAGAGATGGATAATTGGTCTGATGAGCCAACGG